ACCCTTAGCAGGATGCAGCGCACCCTTCATGCGACTCGCCGAATATCTCACGGCGCTTCGCGCTTGCGGGGCACTGCACCTGGTCCGGTGAGAACCCGGCGTGCGCCGTCCCGGCTTTGTAGGGATGCGAGGTCAATGGTCTAACGACTACGGCATGCACGACTATGAGTATGAGAACACCCCGGGGCACTGCACCTGGTCCGGTGAGAACCCGGCGTGCGCCGTCCCGGCTTTGTAGGGATGCGAAGTCAATGGATTAACGACTACGGCATGCACCACTACGAGTGCACCCCCCCCGGGGGCAGGGCACCATTGCACCAACCCCCCGCGAGCGATGACGTGCATTTGCTGGCTCGGGTCGCCCACTGTGTTGTATTGTTGTGTGTTTGTTGTTTGTCGCTACGGCGTGTGCATTTCTCTGTGTCTTTCTCCTTCGCTTTTCCTTCTCTCCATCTGTTCTCTTATATTTCCTTTTTCGTTTTCTCTTTCTTTTTCTTCTCTCTCTTTTTTCAATCTAGGGTTACCTCGCATAGCGTGTAGAGGCCAGCGGAGTGGCCTAGACGATCTGTGGTTGACTTCTACTGGCTTGCGGACCGATCGGGTCCAATTTTTTTCGGACACCTTGTTTTGGGTAAGTTAGCCTGTGACCACGGGAATCGACCGCGTCAAGTGTTAAGACTATTGCGGACAGAAGAAGCTACTGGGCAGAGAGAACGGAACGGTTTTTAATGCGAATACGACAACAACAACAACAACAACAACAACAACAACAACAACATATTTGTTTAGTATATACTTTCAAGTATGGCGCTTTCCACCAAACACCGTTGACTCCCCCGACCCCTGCTCGTCTGCATTGACGCCGATCGCGGGAGCAGGTCAGAGGCAATCCAAACATCGTCCAAACGCTGGGCATTTGCAACACCACGGTGGTAACCGAGGCCTACATGCTGGATATTCGATCCGCTGTGCGCAAGCGCACGACGGCTCTACCGATCGGCGAGGCCGTCACGATGTCCTTGGACGCCGTGAGAGGCCTACAAGCCCTCCACGAGGCTGTCGGAGGCCCTGTTGTGCACTTTGATATCAAACCGCCCCAGCTTCTGGTGACCGGCGACGGGCGAGTGAAGCTAAACGACTTTAACGTTGCCTGGTTCATGAGCCGAGGGCCGGACGGGAAGCCGTGTCCATTCAATATGGGTATCAAACATCGGGGGCAAACTTCACCCTGGAGGTCCCCTGAGTACCACGCCCAAAAGGTCAGCGACAGCAGTAGGGATCGTTCCGTTCAAAGCGTTTGTTCCATTGGTCGTTTCACTAAAGCGGTCGCCGAGGAAGCCGCATGCAGCAGTCAACTCCTGGTAGACGGCAGGCGACAGCTAGCTGTACTGACTGATCACCCTACGGGAGCATATAATGTATTATCTGGTCGCTTTTTTCTTCTAGCGATTGTCGCACGCCTTAGATTGAATCGCACGCGATATTGAAGGATCGAATGGCGGCAGGGATGACAAGGAACTTCGTCAACAATGTGACGCTGATGACAACCAGGAGGTGAGTGGCCGCCCCCCTTACTCAGCTAGGGACGCCCCGGAATATACCTACACGATGGTGATGGCGACTACCGCGGGCAAACAGGCTTCAACCTCTCTCCAGCAGAACTCAACATCAAAAGCAGAACACCTCCGGAGAACGTGAAGATCGCTGAATGTTTATGCGGCTGGTATGAGCTGCAATTCTGCGGAACACGTCACGTCTCCCATCTGTCGTGTCGGTTTTTCAGGTTGAGGCTTCACCTGTTGACTGACCTCAAGATGTCTGAACATGACCTTCTCCGACAGGCTGGTGGGCTGTGAAAGGGAGTTGGTTCCGTCTTCTGAGACACTCGCACGTTCGACCCCACGATGCGATGACACAACATTCCTTGCGGCGTTCGTCCTGCATGGTCCCAGCTGGTGCACCTGAAGGTTTAAAGCAGGTTACATGCTCACGTCCAGCATCAATGGGAATGCAACACACACACACTTGGACAGTACGCGTGCCTTGTTCCAACAGGGTTCGTCGCATCCCTATTGTTTTTGCCCCCTTTCATTGCCGTTCGGAACCCTTTTTAGCCCATGACGGAGAAAGTAGATATCTACTCGATGGGTATGATCTTCCTAACAGTTATTGCTGGCGACGGCATGCGCATGCCAGTGGCGCAAGAGTCGAAGCATGATGTCCCCGTGTTCGCCACACCGTGGCACAGGAGCTACTATGAGGTGCGTGGGCTTAGATTGTTTTCGCTCATCGGCTGAACGTCCCTCACTCTTCGGGCGGGACAGTATGATGCGAAAAATATTGTGGACAGCGGGCGTTGTGTGCGTTTTCGTATGTGTGTGTGAATCCCATGCCGAGTCTGCCTAGTTCGAGTGCAAAAAGCGGTTACGATTACGTCGTGCAGCATGTGTGTCACTCTACCGTTTGCATTCGTCGTTTCCACGGTCGAACACGCCAGTTGTCGGTCTGAAAGGCTCGCCAAGACCTAAGTACGTTTTTCGTCAGTCACAAACACAAAGAGTCGACAGGCGATTTGAACGGTTGGTGTAGCTCGGCCAGTAGCCCTAATGACAGCTCGTTTGGAACCACTGCGGCCGATCGACAATTCCCCCCCCAGTTACGCCAGCCCTCGATAACTACCCATGTTTGTTCTTATGCCGACCCTGCCTGACAACCCCATGAACACACCAACACGCGTTCCGGCCTTGGCAAGATCGCGCAAGACATGGTTGCTGAGGAGGCCAACCGAAGACCCTCCGCTCGCCAAGTTGCTGAGCGGCTAGACGTGATCCTCCACGAGCTACCTTGATCCCGTTGGTCAGCACATCAGTTTGGTGTCCAACGGTCCAAGCAAGTGTGTTTGTTCACAAAGATTCGTTCCAACATTGCCCGGCTATGAGAGAACGAGGGCTTACAAAAGGACTCTGGCCCTCCTGATTGATTCGTCGTTGTCGTTGTCGTCGTCGTCGTCGTCGTGGTTGTGGTCGTCGTCGGCATTCACTGCATCACGCTGAGCATAAACCCTCTTGCAAAGTTCTGGAGGTCTGCTCTGTTGCTTGATTCGGGATTGCGGAATCAGGCAAGCCCTCTTTGTCGCAGTTGTGCATAGTTTCGGGGGGCAAAGATTATTACCGCCAAACATCCATGATGATGGTCTCGTGTGTCGTAGAGCACAAAAAAACAAAAGAAACTTTCCGAATTGGGTAGACTAGTGTGTCTGTGCGTAGTAGTTGTCTTCTGCCGCACAATGTGCAGCTGTGGCGCGAGTGTGCATCATGATTCCGGGAACGTTGAATACGTACATGGTTTGCCGAGCACTTTCGCAGGGATGCGGCATAGATAGGTGGCCTCAGGTGCACAGTACGACCGTGCAGAGACTAACAAGTTTGTACGGCGATTAAACAAGCTTTAGTGGATCAAAGGTTGTCAGCAGTGCAGCAGTACTTCGGTTTTGGGGGAAATAGGATGGTTCTGAACGTTGCAGGAATGGGAAAAACAACCGGTTCGCGCCAGGTTCCAAGCAGGTGGGGGGGGTGTACTCATAGACTAGTCGTGCATGCCGTAGTCGTTAGACCATTGACCTCGCATCCCTTCTCTGCGGAAAGTGAAACAAGAGCAACTGCAGAGTCATGGAGGATATCGGCCAATTAGGAACGCTTATGCCACCTCTCGCGCCAACAGCTCGTTCTTGGGCGTGGGAACGAATTTCAAGTGTTTTTAATCATCGGACGAAAGGGTACGTTGAAGGCTACATCTCTAAAAAAACATAAAATAAATCTGAAGGGCAGATGAGATAAAGCTGATGCAGTGCCCTCAGTGTTCAACAAACATGGTGGGAACACTTAAGCTTTGTGGCTGATTTCGTATGTTCTGAAGCGTTTCATGATCTGATTTTTGTGTACATATATGCGTCTGTTGCAACTTGTATCCATTTGAGAGAAAAAACTCGAAATTAATTCACGCCCGGGGACAAAATCCTCACATCCCCTGGTTTCCCGGCTGAAATCGGGGACGGATTTTACCCCGTTTTTGACCGTACGGCTGTGCTGCGCGCATGAAAAGAGTCAGAACTAAGAGATAATGCATAGTTGGTCCATTCTGCTCATATATCGACTCCCTAAAAAGAAATTAGGACGAAAAACGTTGCGTAGGTCATGTAATGCCCGTTCAAACAGGCATACCTTGGACCTGGCCGCTACGGTAAGATTTCTCCGCGGGGACCGCAAGGCAATTTCCCTTGTTTCACATTCACCTTACACTCCCATAACGTGCCCTTTGGTGGGTAGGTGTTTTCTATGACAAGGAACGGTGTTGAAAAAAATATAACACGCACGCATATCCGGGGACAAAATTGCCACATCCCCGGTTTTGCGGCAAAATCAAGGTATCGCCCCCCCCCTCCCCCTCGGTGTTTGCCATTGGGATAGGGTTTCGTCGCTCGGCAACGACATTGTAAAACAAGCCAACTCACTTCGTGAACTCGGCAACCAGGTTACCGTTTTTTTTTTAACCTCCGGTATTTTTTGGCGGTAATCATAATGGTGGTCGAGCAGATCATGTTGTGCGGGGTCGAGAACCCTCACTCCGCGCAAGGGGGATGATCGCACCACGTTGTGTTAAAATGGTCAAGCACCCTCGAGGCAGTTACACAGTGCTTACAACTGTCTCTGGAAGTGAAAGCACCAGAAAGTAAA